AAAAGGCGAAGACCCCCTAGCCTTACTTCCTACCTGACAGAAATCTAATGTGTCACAGTACTCCCGGGAGGACCCCTCAATTTGCCCCTGTGCTGCAGCCGCCCCTTTGCGGGGTCGGCGGCAGCGGCGGCAGCCCTTAAATAGTTACTATAGTATATTGGGGTTATCTGGTAATCAAACTGCTGGAGAAAATGTGTTCTCCACGTGCTTGGTAGGGGGAATTATGTTCCCCAACTGTGTAGTGTCTCAAGTTTCATCAGAGCAGGCAGTATCCCTATCCAAAGCAGCGATGATTTTTTGGTGTTTCTTAAACAGCGGGAAGTAGGGGTTTTAGAGAAACAGCAGGGTTACACGAACGTTACGGGGGTCCCCCATAAAGATTACATTGAGAGTTATTTCCCAAATTGATGATGAAACCCTAAACCCAAACCCCAAACCCTGAAATCCTAAACCTAAACCCTAAACCACTAAATCCTAAACGCCAACCCCGAACCCTAAACCCTAAACCCTAACTTCAACTTGCGCTTGAGACGAGCTGCGTTTCCATCAAAGTGGCGCAGCTTTTCGGCGGAACTTAGTTGGATGAGGCATCCTCTCATATGAGCTAGAATCTAAACAATCTAAACTCCTAGTATCCCCCTTAATAAGCGCCATAGTAATCCGCTATACAATCCCCTATATAACCAAGTTTAGCAAAAGCTAATATCATTGGAACCCCTATCTATCCCTGCATGCTGCCTAGCGTCATTTCATCCCAGGCGGCGTGCACCACCACCGTGTCCCCCCGCTCTAAGGCCATAGGAAGGCTAAGGAAGAACTCCTGGACCTGCTGCTGGCTAGGGGTATATGGAGGTTCAGGGTTTAGGGTTAGGGTTTAGGGTTTGGGGTATATTGGGGCTCTTGGTGTTTGGGGGATACTACCCCCAACAATGATAAATCAAAAGGAAAAACAGGAAAATGAAATGGAAACTGTGCCTGTAATATGTGAGCTATAGTCTAAACTCCTAGTATCCCCCTTGATATCCCCTATAGTAGTCCCCTATATACTCCCGTATATATCCCCCTTTAAGGAGTTTAGACTGTAGCTCATGTGGTGTTGAAGGGCCTTCTGTGTATGTATAGGACTGGTCCTGAAGTACTGCTCCCCAAACTTTGCATTGCTACGGGGACCCGCATTGTAATAGGAATGCCACTATGGGGGGACCAGTATTATGATGAATTCAGGGGATCTCAAACATCATGCTAGACAACTCATTAGTGTGAGGGCTATAAGAGGATAATACTTCGCAAAGGTTCATACATGCATAATCTCCGTGATTTAGCCTCTGAGCCCTCTAAACCCTAAACCCATTGGAGATGACCCTGCCTCAGATCGGAAAGCCTCGTCCGCGAGCACTTGAAAACTTTGGGCGACCTTATCCTGCGCATGATTTGCAGTTTCATGTCTGATCAGGGTCTTGCGCTTAGGGTTTAGTGTTACATCCAGCGTCCAACCCTAAACCCTAAACCCCCCTCCAGCGCCTTCCGGATTACTTCAGGCTCCCCGTAGAACCAGTGATTCCCGTGCTTGTGCTCATTTCCTGGGTTGCTGTTAAGGAACTTAAATTAAGTTACCATAATGGGTATATATAGTAAATACTAGGGTTTCCCCAATATAGTAATCCTAAACCCTAAACCCTAAACCCTTAACCCCATTATGGGTTTCCCCAATATAGTAACTTAATTTAAGTTCCTTAACAGCAACCCAGTTTCGTAGCAGGTTCAGCTCATGGTTGCCAAGAATGCATTGGGCCTGCAAATGCCACAGGGCATCTAGCGGGGACATTTGCTAGCTCCCCAGAATTTAAGTACTTTCTTGTGGGTCCCTATAGTAAGAAATAGGATATTGCGATCCCCCTATTTTGGGAAACTACCGCGTAATGTTAAGGGGTTAAGGGTTTAGGACCTTGACCCCAAACCCTTAACCCCTAAACCCTAAACCCCTAACCCTACGCATCAGTTTGTCAGCAGAGCCTTTCCCTGCTGCACTAAATGCCGTACCAGTCGAACGACCCCTGGAGAGTCGGGACCGCGATCTACCAGGTCCTTTGCTAGTAGGGAATATGGGTTTAGGGTTTAGTAAGGGATTACAATAGTACCCCCCAGGGTTTAAGGAGCTATTAAGGACTATATAGGGCTTACTAAGGCCTAATAGGGTTCTAAATCTGGGGAGGGTACCCTTGGGGGGGGTACTATTGTAATCCCTTATTTAGGGTTTAGGGTTTAGCGTCCCTGTATACTCCTTGTATAGCATATTCCCTTATTCCCTACTCAGAGCTCATAAGTTTGCGGCCATTCCCAAGAAGCGTGCCTGAGACCCTAGGGATATGTGGAGATAGTGGCGATATATTTCCATTAAGGGATTTCATAGAGATCATCTTGAGGAAAATCAAGGAAATCTTGAAATCACACACGGCCTCACGTTACAGCCTAGGCAGGCATACTACGAGACATTAGTGTTATCCATAATTGCCCTTCCAAAAGGCTATAGGACGTTGGCTGGTTTTGAGCCGGGCTTATTCCCTGTCTAGAAACCCTAAACCCTAAACCCCTGAACCTTAAGCCATGAACCCTTAACCCGAAACCCTGAACCCTGAACCCTAAACCCTGAAGCAGAGCATGGCAAGCACGAGCAATGGCATGAGCTCTCACATCGGCCAGGCATCGCCAACGAAGACCTTAGCTACCCGGTGCTTGGTAGTGAATGAGAGAAAGGAGCCCCTATATCACTGCCCCTAAATAGTGCACTCTCCCGTTCCCTACAAAGCACCAGGGAGTCAGTCAGCATCAACCTTATACCAGTTTTCTTCTGATCCTTCTTCTGGTAAGCCTGCGACCAACCGTCGGCCCTCAGGGTGTTCTCCGTTTCCGTCATAACCCAAGTGATCCAGCAAGGACGTCAACGCGCCACACTCCTTACGAGACATACCGCGCAAAAGTTCCGAGTGCACTTGTTCAGGCCTCTCGCGAACTGCAACGAGAGTTTTGGTTGCTGGCAAGGCGCCCCATGGATGTCTCCGATAATGTCTATCGGACCATCAAACAAACGGCCAACCAAGGGAACGGCAGAGGTCATGGCGACTGCAAGACTACATGCGGCCGGGTCCATGCAGCCAGTGTCTTACGGCTGTTTGTAGCGAATGGAGGAATGCATCCCTATAGTATTTCCGACATAATCCACCATTATCATCCCTATACGCATGCTGATTTCCGGTGCGTTTGCGTAAGCATACAGTGGGTGTATCGCTGCGTATCACTGGTGCCAGAAGGCCATCCACGAAGCAGGTAATCTGAGTAAGCCAGCATGGTCTGAAGCCACTCCAATCTGGTTGGCTCTTAAACAGCTTAAGTTCGGTCCTAGGTCACCACAACATGGATATTTAGCAAACCTCAAGGTTTCCCCATGATGGCAACTTAGTTTAAATTCCTTAGCGACCTTGTCTTCGTTTGAGATCCTTAGCACTCACTGTTCTGGAAGTCGGAAGAAGCAGCTTAGGTAGGCACATTGTCGTTGAGATTACTTCTATCTTTTCAAAAACCACTTGCGTTATCTACAATGCTAGTTGAAAGGAACATTAGGAAGAGCCACAGTTTCCATTTCATTTTCCATGGCGTGTTTCATTTGATTCTCCGTTATTCCTAAACACAGCAGTTTCCTTTTTTTTGTCCATTGACTTTTGCAGTTGATTCGCCATTGTGCGATACCTCCCACCCCCCTTATCTCCCATATATCCCGATACTGCACCTCCCTACATATACCTATATAGCCTAAACCCCAAATCCTATACCTTGTCCCCGTTCTCTCCCTATATACCCTTACTTTGAGGGTCAGGGGGACTTAGTAAGGACGATAACCCATATAGCAACCCTAGTTATCCCCCGTATTAACCTACGTACTAAGTCCCCTAACCCTCCAAGTATATATACTAAACCCTAAACCCTAAACCCTTAAACCGTAAACCCTAAACCCACTACCGAGGCCTGGTTGTTGCAGTCATCGCACTCCTCATCTCCAACGCGCAATCCATCCATGCCAGCTGCACGGCACCTTGAAGATTCAGGCATCCTAGGATGTCTAAGGTTCCTAGGGCTCTGAGGGTTATATAGGGATGTATAGGATTTAGACTTTAGAGACAAGAGAAGTATATAGGGACCGCGGGACCAAGAGCCTATGCCTTGCAGGATCGCTTCTTTCGTGCGTATGTTCTCTAAGTCTTGGTCAACGGCCAAGTGTTTCCAAGAATTAGGTGTCTCTTTTTGGGGGTCAACAAATAGTGAAGTTTTTTTTTGGCGGCGACATTGGGATCCTCTAATTCGAGGAAACTCTCAAAGGTACCCCAATTACCACCCGAAATATTATGGTCATTGGTACTTGGTGGGTCTTTTGGGTTTGGGGTTTAGGATTTAAGGTTTAGGGTTTTGGGTTTAGCGTTTAAGGTTTAGGGTTTAAGGTTTAGGGATTCGGGTTTAGAGTTTAGGGTCAGGGGTCCGCCTGAACCTCCAAGAACCAGCCCACCTACCCGTAACCCTACGCCCTACAAGGAAATCTGCGGATAGGTAGTTTCAGCTGTCTCTGAAGGGTAACATGTCCAAAATAGAGGTCCCCCTTTGCTATCCCGAAATCTCAGAAACCCCTAGTCCAAAGCCC